CCGGCGACGATGGATGCTCGAAACGATCAACGAGCGGTACGCGGCTGAAACATGTCGCGACCAGGACACTTGGCAATCGTGGTCTTCTCGGGACCGAGCACGTCACGTCGTCCGTACGGCACGAGCACGTTTCTTTCACTGCTCGACCGATCTTGCTATCGTCGTCCCGGTCCGGACCATGCTCGAGCTGCATGTCGTCCCGTCTCCTTCCTCAAAGGAAACTGTCACGCTGCTCATTACTCTCTTCGAATACACACGCGACGTCCACTTCAGCGCGCACTTCGTCTCCACCGGTCACTTGTTCTCGCCTTTTCACCCTATCCTCCTTAAATATCCTTCGATTTCGATTCGACGTCTTTTCTCCTTCTATCCGACCGTTCCGAGGCGAGAGGCGCGCTATCCACGAATCGCAGAAATCCCAGTAGACGTACTCGCGTCAAGGATCACCACGGGCAGGAGAAACGGTACGTTCGTGATCGGACCGAGTGGCTCTCTCAGCGCTCTTCCCTTTTTTTTTTTTTTTTTTTCTGTCCTGAAAAGTCAGGTAACAGATCCCTGGAGAAGTATCGTGGGGTGCACGCGGCCTTAGATATCTCAAGTGGAGAGCTACACAGTCGCCGTGGAATCCTGGCAGGCAATGATGATACACACACGCGCGGTGTTTACACACACGAAAAGACTCCCTTTCTTCTCTCTGGCCTCGCTGAGCCGAACTGAGCGTCAACTGAGAGCTCTGCCCGCGGCTCGACGCGCAAACGAGCTGAAGGCGACACGAGCGCGATCTCTCGGATCGTTTGATAACTAAACCCTGGACGGACACGTCTCTCTTCCCCCTACCACTTCGCGCTCTGCCAAGCCGTTAGCCCCGAACCCCTTTCCTACCCTCGTCCATCGCACTCTAATCTGCCTCTCTCCCTTCTCTGCATCGCGCGAGAATCAGCCTGCATAAACGCAGCGAAACACGTATACGCGCGGGCCTCTTCACGAAAATCTCGATATCGCTCGAGCGACTTCTTTCGCGCTTGCAAGCGTTTTCTCCACTGCGAGCACGACTCTTGGCTAAAGAAAGAGACGAAAATAAAACGAAAGGAACGATCTGAACCAGGTCGTAATCCAATCGTCGAACAGCAGGTGCCTCTTCGACTATCCCGCGTACAATTTTCGCGTCCCTTGGGTTACCACGAATCAAAATTTTCGCGTCGGTAGTCTACAGCGCCTTTCCACTTTTTTCGCGCCTCCAACGCGCGATAAATAAGACACGGGAGCTCGTAAAATTTCGTCCTTAACCAAAGAAGTAGGTTTCTCGTCTTTCTCTTTCTCGATCGTTTGCTTCTGTCCGATATTTTAAGTCGAAATAATTCAATTTTCCAAGACTAACGTCATTTCGATCGTTATATTTACGAACGCGTGGTCGCAACTTTTGTCGATCCTCGGCAAGTTCCGTCATCGAACACCGCGTCTTTTACGATACCCATTATCTCGCGGAATAACGACTAGCCGTTATCGTTGCTAAATTATTTGTTTACAAATGTGGCTTCAACACCGAGTAATCGTTCGAATTGCCCGAGTTATCTATCGCCTTGATTTTTACTCCAAATAGTCGCTACACCTATTCGTTTTAGTTCAAACCTTATATTTTTCAATCCATCGAGTCTAGACTCAACAACAACAACAACAACAACAACGACAGAATTACCGTGATAAGACGCGAAAAGTAGCGAAAATGTCGCGATCGTAATACGTTACAGTTCCATATCGCTAAATCAATGTCCACCAATTCCTCGTAGACGCGTAATTATCCTAATGGCCACGTTCTCCGACGTAACAACACAGAGAATTGATCGAAGGAGTCGCGCGAACGAATGACCGAGTCCTCGACCGTTTTCCGCTGTTCTGCACGCGTGACGTCACGCGCGAAAGGAGGAACGGATGATGTCTCGCGACCGCCACGATCTCACTACGGTGCGTGAATCGACGCGCACGTTGTAACGACGCGTGTACGTGCACACGCACACAAGTGCCGACAATACGTCATGGCAGTATTGCAGTCTAAATCTCGGTACTTTTATGGGGCAGTAAAGTAAAACGGTCTGACAACAACTCCGGTGGCACATACGCCTTCCATCTGTCCATCAGGCTCGCGCGCCACTAGATCGCGCCTCGACGTGGGATGCTTCTTAATCGGCAAACGAATTATCAAATTATTCGAACGCCCGTTAGGTTTATCGGCAAATCTATACAACGCTGGTGTCCATCGTCGAGCCTTTTTAAAGCAACCGAGTCAATTTTAAGTTGCGACCGAGTAAAACTTTGTACTTTAGAACCTATTCGTCTATCTGAATCCATCGAGGAGTAAACTGTTCGGGTAACTAGAATATATATGGCCAGTGTTCAGATAAGCAGAGCCAATGAGCAAGAGTCGATTCAACTTTGCGAAAACTAAAATTTCATTGCAATAAATGAAGATTTACTGTGCATAGTCTATATTTGGCTAGTTCCCACGACTTGATATTTTGCGTATACTAAACTGTACGATTTGCATCTTTTTTCGACGGAAGGGCAAAGGCCTTAACATTACGTAGCAACAAAGGTGCAGATAAAAAAGTCCTGAGTGAAATCGTGCAACAGAAGGCATATGAGTATATTTGAATAAGATACTCGACGTGAGTAAACTTGACATTAGAAGCTCCTTCCGACTATTTATGAAGAGATTGAACTTGAAACTAGTAATAAACGATGGCGTTAAAAGGTGATCGAACCTGACTCCGATATAACACACCTGCAAATGGATGATAGCCTTCGGTTACGTAATTGATCCATTAGCGAGAGTTTATTATTGGTGCAATAAATCGCGAGAAATCTATAAATTTCTCTTTTGAGTTTCAAGGTCCACACGACTACGACGTTCGCGCTGACTTTGTTTCTAAACGGTCACGATCGTCCCTCGTAACCACGAGCCTCTAACGATCAACGTCAAATATCTCGACTTTGCGAGAAGATTACATAAAGGAATGGTGGAACAGAATTTTCCAAGATTTCTCTACTTTTCAAGCCATTCCGTCAACAAATCTCGCTGAAGTAAATTTAAGAACGAAATCTTGTTTACAATAGGCGGTATTTAAAATGCAGGCAAAATTTCTGAGGGTAGTATTCCTAGGGACCTAGTATACCCTTAAGGAAAAAGGACAATAGGCTTAATATAACGGGTCCGTAGACCTTTACGATGTATGGGTAATTAAGAAAGGTGTATTTGCCTACGAGACGTCCGTACCGTTCGCACACAAAAACATAGCAAAAAAAGCTATTGCGAGGGTTGCAGGAGTAATTCCAGCGGATTAGAGTAGTGTAGAAAGCAGCACCGAAAATTGTACCGAAACACGACAGCTAGGGTCGAAGAGACCATTGTAAACCGTATAAGTTGTATATCATTGTCCTAAGTTTGTTTTACTTAAAGAATAGCGTACCCAGAGCGGTAACAAGAGTCGAAGAAAATACTGTAAGCTATGTATGTTGTATATCACTGTCATAGACTCGTGTTATTTAACCATTGTTTCCTGTTTCGTAATAGGTAAATTGAGAGAAACGGACGAATAATATCGTCCTAAATAATTTAAATATTAAGTCGTGCAGTTAGGATTTTATTCTTCTCCTTGCATTAATATCTATTAGAAAATTAAAACTTTCGCTATCGGAACTAACCAGTTAGCGAATCTCATTTTATAAGATTACCAACAAAATCGATTCCCTTCGTATAACAGTCGATAATATATCGTTGCCTTGCTTATTCTTAAGTAACGCGCTACTTGAAGTAGAATATATCGAATCACTGTCTGCACCGATATCGGGGTCGTGTGCTATTGTGCTTGCGTAGGAAGTACATGGGAGGCACGAGACCTCTCGTTCGAATAGAAGTGCGATAAATCGCGGGGGAGGCGCGAGCCACCTGACGTTCGTTGTACAGACGACGCGATCATGAATGGGCTTTATAGCAACCCGCCCATTTATAGGTAGTATGCGCGGTTTAGTAGCTTTTAGTGCGACGCAGTTGTATACAATCCTCTGTTTACGGCAAGTACGTACCTAGGAAACAGTACGTTATCGTCGACTTTTTAGCTCGAGGTTTCGAGGTCGGCTACAAGCAGCGAATTAACTCGTCTAGTCCGAACGAGACGTCGGGGGTGATCGTATCACCTTAAAAATTCACGATGTCACTGTTTTCTTCGCGTTCCTCGCTTCTTTTCATCGTTTCGCGCGTCGATTCTCTCTTTCTTTTTTAATATCCAAGTGCATCTGTCGCTTCGTTTAGAAATCGTTTCATAGTCGATTGCCAAGTGTCACTGCGATCGGACATTTTCCAGGTGCAACGAGTTCGCAAAATTCGATAAAATGAATTTTAGGGATCGGTGTTAAGAGGATTGAAACGTTTATCGAACGTACCGTGGGCGAGTAATGGTTTCATTTGAACAAAAAGAAAAGAAAGGAATATAACAGAAATAGACGCGTGCGCAACTCACCTTGTATACCGGCCAGTGTTCCCGGCTGGAACACGCGGGAAAGCCTGAAACATTAGCAAACACCATGAAACGGTGACACATCCAATCGAAAGTGTTTTATAGATATCGCGTTTCTCGGATCGATCGCCACGTTACGTTACTCCCACGCGTCTTACTTTCGTCCTAGGCGCGTTATCTGTGCCACTTTCTTCTCGCAAATTTCAACAATAATATTTCGCGACGATCTTATAATTTTATGGCTAGTATCGTAGACTCAATTTAAATCAAACACGCGCTTCTAAATTGTACAACTGCGATCGAATGAGGGATTCGATCAACTTCGTCGAAGTATTACACGTGACTACGTATGATATATATGTTTTAAATGTACAGAACATTTTTTAATAAATCGTTTAATAAATCTAACACTTTCTGTTAGGATCGAAATTATACGAAACAATGGACGCTTTCAGAAAGATTTGACTCACCTGCTGCACAGCTCGAACGGGTGAAACGTCTTCTCCACGGCGCCGTACACTTTGAGGCCTTTTATTTACAGGTTTATAAAGAAAAACATCAGCCTGAAACAGAAAGAAAGGGAACAATCATTGATCTTGTCATACCTATATCTCGTTAACGTGACTGTATGTAAAAATATTTTTATATATATCGCTCCAGGTATAAAGTTCGGTACCTTGTACAGCCGTTAATCGACCTATAATATGGCCTCTTAGCTTACTACTTTCGAAAACATGTTTCCGTTCCTATATCGATGACGTTTCTCGCCACTTTGGCCAAAGCAACTGGTGATGTCTTTATTATTAAAATCATTTTTTACGAATTTTTCCTGTTGGAACGATACAGAAAAAGTCGAACGCACGGAAACATTTTGAAGAGATCCAGTCCATCACGGTTCTCTTCTAAGGTCGGCAAATTCAATCATGGGCGTGCCTATGAATTTCGATTCGCCGCGCTGAACGTAAATATCGAAATCGAGACTGCAGGTGGAAAACGTGGAAATGCTCTCTGGAGGTGTCTGCGGAGCCAAATCTCTGGGGGTGAGTTTACGGCGGACCGGTGAACGACGCTTGAAGAGAGAGAGAGAGGAAACGTGTCGATTCAGCGTGTAAGAGAGAGACCGTGAGACGCAAAGGAAAATATTTTCGCAACGAAGTACTTTAAGAATTTTCATATCGATTCAATCTTTATCGTTTGAAATCAAAACAAGTCCGTATGATTTGAATCTTAATCAGATACCGTTCAATAAATTAATAGATATCTAAATCTCCACATAAAAATTGGAACCAGATTACAGCTAGTGCCTGGTCAAACTGGAATTGAATCTAGTCACAGAGATAGTAGGACAGTACATAATAGGGAAAATCATAGAATTCTTATTGTACGAACGAATTGTTTATTTCCCGACAAATTCGGATAAAGGAAATTCCTCTGTACATAATTATATATTCATATTCCGTAAACGAGCTGTTCGACGCGTATCTACACAATGATACCCAACAAACTACCGTGTCACGATCTTCCTTCTGGAAAGAGAAACATCTTATCCCAATGGTTAATACACAAATCCTGACCATTTATGCGACACAAAAGGTCGGCCAGTTTCTTGGGACGGTAGGTAGAACGGCACAGACCTACGGAGAAAGCGAGAGAGACGGTAATGGTAAAGCTTGGCGAAATGTGGGCAGGACGTGCCACGAGGAATATTATCGTCATGGAGCGAAGTAAGGGCGAAAAGAAGGGGTGGTCGCGTGAAAAACACGCTAGCCAACATCGGTGTGTACAGAAGAGATTGGTCGAGGGTGCGCAACAGCCGGACACGAGAAAGCTCTTGATTCCCTGCCGTATCTAACCCCAGCGAGGGGTAGCTGTGTTATGCCATTCCTATGAAACGCTTCGCAGAAGCCGTCCATTTACCATTTACGTCGTCCAGTTCGGCCCTGAGCACGCATTTCGCCGTGTAATCGAATTAAAAATCCCATGATTCTCGACGATTACGCGCCATCGCTGTCACAACGATCGCAAGTCGAACGAAATGTTGCTGGCTTTATGCAAATTTTAGCGTAGTCCATGCGAGAAGCTCAAACGAAATCGAGAAAGTCAAAAGACAGAGCATATTTTAATTATGTGACGAGGGTGTAAGACGGTTCTTCGGATATTTAGTTGGAAATAGATTTGTTAGATTTGTGCCTCGAAATTCATAAAATGGTTTATGATAATTATTTTTTAAGGTCTACGGACAGAAAGCTAAACAAACCCTCATAAGATTTACGTCCTTTGGTGCGATGATAGTTAAGAATTATCGAGCGGCTGTTAAAAATATAGCATTCTTAACCTTGACCGGTGGATTACAATGAAATTTATTACCCTCAAAGTTTATTGCTCTCAAACGCACGTTTTCGATAACACCCTCTGTCGCTGTAATGGGTCGATATTTATCGCCTCGTTATCCTATAGGGGTGTTTTATATGGAGCAGATAGATTTTCCAATAAATACAGACTTGTGCAGATACAACGCTTTCATGCCGATTCAAAACGTATACAAAAATTTCTTTTTATCGAATCTTAAACATTCCAGGAAAAAGATTATTCGAACGATGAGTACCAGCTGCGTGTCATTTATCGTTGCGAGACGGTGGGAGCCGAGGCACCACTCAAAAAAAATAAGAGGCATAACGCAGCTGAGATAATTAAAAAAAATCGGATCCCAAAGGAGCCAATGGCAGTCTTAATTCACGCCAGGCAACGGTACTAAAAGTTCAGCAGAAAGGGTTGCACTCATTACGCGGAAACCCCTTACGAGAGATTACGAAACTCGAATCGTGAAAAAAGTTTCTTGCAAAATTACACTCGACGGGGAAACTCTGGCTTTTAGAAGGGTATCTTGAAAATGACGGAGATTACGCTTCAACTTTTATTTACTTAATCCAATTCCACTGGATTATATGACTGAAAACTCCAATAGACTTCGACATGTTCTTAATATGTATTATATATTAAATCATTCAAGCAGCAATCCCTCGGTCGTATACATTTTAATAGTAACTCATCCGCAAAATATATTCTCTTTTCTCTGCTCGAACATTCTTCGACCTCGTTTCGCATTAAACGTCCTCGACATATCTTACGAGGACTATAGGGGAAGAAATCATATTTTCTATTTTTTTTTCTCTCTTGCAAGAAAGCAATTTTTAGATTCAATTGCATCTCGCGTTAAATATGTGCTTTCTCATCGCCTCTACAACCTCCAAAGTATCGCACTTTGTCGTATTTTTCATCGTATTTACAATACGATAACCCACCCCCGTCTACCCCTTTATGCATCCTCGCTTTCCTTCAAAAATTCAAGGCTGAGATTATCCATAAAAATCAACCCTTCCACGGATGCTAACAAACGTGCAAATGTTCATCGATCGTACGTACAGTTACTCACCCTTCTACTACCCCTAAAATCGCCTGTTTCCCTCTTCAAAAATTGCAACCTGAAACTCGACATAGATCGTTTATGGAAGTCAACTGTTCCATAAGGTGCAGCGTGCAAAATGCTCGTTAATCGCTGTCGAGAGAATTGGAATATATCGCGTTGGCCGCGAGGGGTCGAAACCCGTCGTCTCCGCGACTCGGTGAACTGGTTCTGGCGGTCGTCTGGCAGGAGGGGCGGAAAAGGGGTTGAGTCCCATAACCATGTGACGTGACGCGTGCCGTTTTTAGCAGGGCGTCGGGACGCCTTCCGCGTGGAACGCCGCCAGCACCGGGACGCCCTCTCGTTTCCACAGGCAGACGATATGGCCGCGCGACCAATCCCGAACGCCGCTTCCGACATTCGCCTCCAACATGGCAGTGGCGTGCGCTCTACGAGACCGGTCAGACCTCCAATTCCCAGTCTGGGTTTCTCCCTGCGATTCACTAGCCGAGCCACGCTGACCCGAGTTACCGTCGACTGACCTTCTCGCGCTCAATTATCTCCAGGATCCGTCATATACTCGCGAATCGATGTTTTCGAAGATGGAATCTAGATTTTCGAATTTTCCAAGGGAAAAATATTCGATGCGAGTCAAGAATAGTCTCGAGCTCTTTTTCAAATCGTTCGAGAGACCAATATTATTGGTGATTTTGTTCGATAATTTCTCTATGCTCGAACGATTTCTGGGTTGAAGATATATTAGAGGGTGGAGCATTCGTAGGTTGGTATTTCGAAATCTCAGAAAGAGATTTCGAAACGGCATGTTTCTTTAATATCGATCGAAATATCTACCCTCGTCGTAGAACTTTTTCCCGAATACCTTGGAAAGGAACCGCCCTCTCGAGATAAGAAACTTTTTTACGCCGTTGTGTGATATTTTCGACGGTGAAAAGTCACAGGATATTTGAAACAAAGTGATAAAACGATGGATTACTCGATATCGATTCTCAGTGAAAAGTCAACGAAGTTTATCGAGATAAGACGAAGCAAAGAAAAATAGAGCCATAAAGCATGCGATCTAAGCACGACGATGTTGGAGAAACGGCTGATGCGTTTCTCCTAAATCGAACCTAACAAACGGAGGCAATCGCTACTCGCAAATTCCGAAAGGAATAACAAAGAACCAGAAGCTAATTATCCCAGTGATGGCCGATTTATCTCGCTCACGTTCACTCTTTTCCCAGGAAACGTGTTCGAATCGACAAAAGGCGAACACGTCCAAGTTCGGCGACTCCCTTAATGCCGCAATTCCGAGTCTGCTCGCGCTTTTCCTTTTCTTTTTTCTTTTTCCGTTAGCACGCTCGATCGTTTGTATTCCGCGCTCGGCCCGTCGCTCACACGAGTAAACCACGTACACACGTGTACACTGTACACGCGAACGGACGATATGGACCCGCAGATGGAACAAAGTATAAGCGTGGGATATTCCATTTGGCCAGGGACGTGGCGGTGAAAGTGGGCGGAGGGGGCAGGGGGCGAGGGACGGGACAGGGGACCAGCCAGAGCTTAAGAGGGTTTGAAGACCGAAGAAGTGGTGGTGAGGTTCGATGCGAGCTACGTGAGTATATGGCGAGCCGGTATTGAGTCAAGGATGGCTAGACCGTTTCGTGTTCCTGGGGTTGCGTCGTCATGGGAACCGTCCTCATCAGGCAAAGTCTCCCAAGATCTTTCTTCCCTCTTCCGTCCGCCAACTTGCCTTTACCTTGCTCCGTCTCCTTCTTCTCCACCTTTAACTCCTCCTCAGGCTACTCGTCGATTTCCCCTGCAGCTTGTTTTTGCGACACTGTTTTGCATTCTATCGTCGGCTGGCCCGAGATAAAGTCCTCCGTGATGGAGAAACCGCCTCGATGTTCCCAGACTCGGACGAAGACCCGATGATAACGCTGATGGAAACAAGGGTTGCTCCGACCGTCAACTTTACAATGTATCGCGTTCTTGCAACCTAATCGTCCGAGTTTTAAGCTCTTGGCGTCTTGGTTTTTATCTTTATTCGGGCACGCTATATTTAGACTTTGTTCGGTTAGGACAACCTTTCGAACATCGCGGAATTTGCATTCCAGAATTCTGATATTCTTCTACTGTCAGATTTTTCTTCTTCTT